AGGGAAGGGGCAGAGAGAGAGGGAGACACAGCAGCCAAAGCAGCTCCAGGCTCTGAGCTGTCAGGACAGAGCCCGATGTGGGGCTCGAACCCACAAACCGCGAGATCATGACCTGAGCCGGAGTCGGCCGCTTAAGCAACTGAGCCACCCAGGCTCCTTTAAAATAAATAAACTGAAAAAAAGTTTTAGTTTTAGAAAGCTAATATCACCCAAATTCATACTATTAATTATTGTCTAGGGAAGGAGATGGAATACAAAATTTTTTTAAATAAAAAAGTGACAATTTTTCATCTTTTTATAATTTTTTTCCTCTGTACATATAAATCTTTTGTTTCTGAATGCTATTCCAGGAAAATGTGGACTCTGTTTATCCAGAACTGAGAGGATTCAATTAAGGAAGGATTTAGGGGTATACACACTTCCTGGACAAGAAAGATTTGGGGGTGCACATGCTTCCCAGACAATGATTTGGGGGTACACATCCCATACAAGGATTTGGGGGTGCACACTTCCTGGACAAGAATGATTTGGGGTGCGTGCTTCCCAGACAAGAAGGAATTGGGGGTGCACACACTTCCTGGACAAGAAGGATTTGGGGTGCACACTTCCTATATAAGAAAGATTTGAGGGTACACACTTCCCGGACAAGAAAGATTTGCAGCGCACACTTCCCGGACAAGAAGGATTTGGGGGTGCACACACTTCCCAGACAAGAAGGATTTGGGGTACACACTTCCCAGACAAGGATTTGAGGGTGCACACACTTCCTGTATAAGGATTTGAGGATGCACACTTCCTGGACAAGAAGGATTTGCAGTGTACACTTGCTGTACAAGGATTTGGGGGTGCACACACTTCCTGTACAAGAAGGATCTAGAGTGCACACTTCCTGGACAAGAAGGATTAGGGGTACACACACTTCCTGGACAAGAAGGATTTGAGGCTGAACACTTCCCGTACAAGAAAGATTTGCAGTGCACACTTCCCAGACAAGAAGGCTGTGGGGTGCGCACACTCCCCGGACAAGAAGGCTGTGGGGGCGCGCGCACTCCCCGGACAAGAAGGCTGTGGGGCGCACACTTCCTGCTGGGCGCTGAGTTCTGGGCTGCGCTTGTTCCCCAGTAACAGGACACGGCAGGAACGGCCAGGCTTTTCAAGGCAGTTGTCTGACGACCAAATGGACACGCTGCCTACCTGCCCCCCAAAGGCGGCCCAGCTGGTCTGGAAGGGGCGCTGCGTGACCACCAGGGAAGTAAATGTCTCGTGTATAACGTTAATATACTGACCAAATGAGAGGAGGATCCTGAACAGAGCATGAGCCATAACAATTTTTTCAAAAATCGGGCTGAAATACCACAAAAACGAAGTATTCCGTAGGTGTGTGTCTTGCTGATATTTGCGCTCCCCGGGGCGCTGCGAACACTTTGTGCACTTCTCAGCTGTTGTAGCTATTTTCCTAGAACAGTGAAAGGGATCTACTGACTCCCACAAATAAGGCAGTCCAGAGGACGCATGGAGATCAGGTACGGTTCCATCAGGGCTCTGGTCTCCAGAAACCTAACTTCTAAAGGCTGCTTTATAAAAGATTATCTTTTAATTCTGTAAGATCCAATTTCAATGGGTAATAAACAGGCCCCCAAACTGAAAATAATAGTATTCGGAGCTTTTTATTTCCAGCTCACAAGGTGGTCAAGCTACTCCTCACATGCCTATGTAGCCAAGCACGGCTTGCCACACAACCTATAACGCAAAAAGAACACACCCACGTCCTAAAAAGAACGTTGGTCATTTCCTTAAACACAAGATCACTGAGACGCTCCTAAGCTCAAAAATGACTCAAAGCTCAGATGATTTTCCTCACTGTGGTAATGGTGAGGAGCTTCAGTAACCACGTACACAATCAAGGACACAGATTGAGAAACAGCTGCCAAAATCACACCATCCAGTCATTACAGGAGAACAGGCCTCGACCGCATCAGAAGCGGCGTCTCCCTGTGTCAAGGGACAAGCACGGGCGCATGACCCGGACGTCCCCTCACTGCAGAAGTGAGGCCGGCTCGCACTGCGCGGTGGGAGAATCAGTCTCCACTTAATCTGGAACAGGTAAGTCTGACTTCAAGTTCTAATTAAATAAATGACTATGGCATTTTCAAAAAGTCGTACCTAAGCTAAAGACCCAGACTTCAGCTCAGTGAATACAAGCCACCCTACTGCGGGCGTGGAGAGGTGCGCACATGCAAACCCCAAAGCTCCCTTTACATAAAATTTAAAGCAAGACCAAACAAGTCGGGTGTCAGAAGTTAGGCTGGTGTTCAGCCTTCAGGAGCAGGAAGGGGCAAGGACTTGGGGCCGGGGGCGGGATGACAGGTACCGGCCGGCCCTGGAGGGCAGCTGGCTCTGACCGTAGCATCAGGCGTGACACTCACCACCATGTACCCCGCTGTGTGTGTCCACACCGGGAGGTACGATGAGCCGAGTGATCGGGAATAACACCACTTCCACCCGAGACAGACGAGGCTAAACAATGTGTGCGAGCCTACAGCAAAGCAAAACAAAATCTTCACAGAATGCAATTTTTATAAATTGCATATTAAAAAAGTTAAAAATAATAGAATAACATAAATCTAAACAAAAGAGATTAAATGTATGGCAGGGCAGACCCTGGGAAAGGTGTGAAATTCCTCATCTTAATGACAGGACTGGATTCAAGAAACTGGCTTATTCCCAACCCTTGCATTTAGGAAACTACAGGTCGGGGCGCCCGGGGGGCTCAGTGGGTTAAGCATCCAACTCTTGGTTTCCACTCAGATCATGATCTCATGGTTCTTGAGTTCAAGCGCCATGTCGGGCTCTGTGCAGACAGTGTGGAGCCTGCTTGGGATTCTGTCTCCATCTCTCTGCCCCTCCCCACTCTCTCTCTCAAAACAAATTAAAAAAAAAAAAAGGTCAAACTAAGTTCTGACAGATACCAAGGTAACCATTAGTAAAATGAAAGCATAGTATATTTTCAAAGCTTTCAATTCATAATTTTTTAAAAAGATAACTCATTTAGCTAAAGTATGAAAACGTTTCTTCTTAATCTATACAGATTCACTGTGTAAGCCCTATAAATAGAAAAAAACTTTGAGAGAACTGACAAGCTGATTCTAAATTCACATCTAAGCAGAAATGGCACAAACAGCAAAGATACTATGGGAAAAGCTCCTACCAAACATCAAACCATAAAGCGATGGTTATTTAAGTCATATTGACAAATAGCAAAAAACAAAACAACTCAAAAAGAAAGAGTCCAGACAGACTCGGTGCACAGGGGATTCAGTGGACAGTCAGTGCGGCGGAGCGAGCCCTGGGGCAGGCCAGCAGGTGAGTCTGTGACTCTGCACTGCTCTCGTAACTCCTCCCTACCAGAGAAGCAACGTGAAAATAAACAGAAGAAAAATAATTTAGAAAGAGCAACCACAGACACAAGATACCCAAACGTATAAAACCACGCCATGATTCAAGTCTAGAAAGACAGACAAATCCACACAAAAAGTGGGTGAAGGACAGGCCCAGTGACTGGTAGAATAACGGTAACGAATAAGTGAGCGGAAGCTGGTCAACCTCACTGGTCACAGTAAGGACCCAAGACGCCGCCCCTCCCACGTTAGAACCCGGTGACGGGAGCCCGGGCCAGGTGGAGAAGGGGACCCACAGGGGGCGGGGGGCCTGGCACGGCTGCTCCAGCGCAGGGAAGGGCAGGAGCCAAACTACAAGGAGGCGCTGGCTCCGCGACAGCCGCCCGCCCCGCCCACAGGGCCGACCGCAGAGAAGCCCCCAAGTCCGCACAGGGAGGCACGTAGAAGGGCTCTTTTCAGTGACACTCAGGAGGTTACGGCTACAAAGACCGTCACCCGCATCAGTACAAGACGCTACACAGAAAACGGGCGTCCATCTTTTCTACACGTAGTAACAAAGGACAACTCTAACGCGGCCACGAAGGAGCTACAGGCCACGCGGAGCGACCCTCACAGCACCTGCCCCTGTAGACACCGCCCGCCTGCACCAGAGGCGCCCGAAGCCACTCCTGACGGCCGGTGTTGCAGCCACGCCGGTTTAAAGAGCCACTGGTCCCCGCACAACTGGTCACGCGGAGACTACGGGACCGCAGCACGGATTTCAAGTTCATCCACGAGAAACAACGTGGAACCAGGAGGCCGGCCTTCTGCTCAGCCGCAGGGGAGCCCCCACACCCCCAAGGCCACATCAGGGCATCTTCAGGGCAAATGCCATGCTCCCCTACAAGGCACGGAGAGTTGGGGCGCCTGGGTAGCTCTGTCAGTGGAGCGTCCAACTTTGGCTCGGGTCATGATCTTGCAGTTTTTGAGTTCCAGCCCCGCATCGGGCTCTGTGTTGACGGCTCGGAGCCTGGAGCTGCTTCAGATTCTGTGTCTCCCTGTCTCTGCCCCCCTCAACTCTTACTCTGTCTCTCTCTCAAAAATAAATACGCGTTAAAATAAAAAATTTAGAATGCACAGTGGGCTTAACCCCTGAACGTGCTGACAGTGCTACAGCTTCAGTGAAGTTCCTGTCCTGAGTGCGATGGCGCTGAGGGTTGTGAGTGTGTGGCCCCTCATTCTACTCTGCCAGAGGACCTGTGGTTTGGGCTGTGTCACTTGCACAGCACAGGGTGACCCTGCAAAGTGACAGAGCGGGTGATTCTGCACCACACACAGACGAACACGGGAGACCCAGGTCTGGCTCTGCCGCACACCTGGCCAGGGGATCTGACCTTCTGACTTTTCACCGTTAACACTGGGATGATAATCTCCCATGGACCCCAGGTGGCTCTGTTGCTCAGAGGTAACTGGCTTTCAAAGCACCGCACAGAACACGCACACATGCGAAGCGCGGTAGCATCACGGTCCAGAGGAAACCGTCACCAGGGAGAAAAAATCTGGAGAGCAGCGGAGTGCTCACGCCTGCCCCACCCGAGCCCGAGCCGCGACGGCACTCCTTACTTCGTGGTAGGCGTCCTCGAGCTCCCCGTCGTATATCCAGCGGTACAGGAAGCTCAGCACGGGGTGCGACACTAGGCTGAGAATGTGTTGCACCAGCGACCTCACGTATGGGTCCCCCGTCTTCGTGTACGCGTGGACAGCAGAAGCCAGCTCACCTCCTTTCCTCCCTGGGGACACATGCAAACACCCCATTACGCTCCCTGGAGAGACCACGTAACCGAGATGCAGTGGTTCCTCGGTACCGCCCGGGCCCAAGGAGTGGCCACCAATGTGTCGAGGAGCCGAGAGAGCGAGAGTCTGCGCTGGGTTTCACGAGCCAGTGCCAGGCTCCCCCCCACCTCCTCCTCACAGTCGCTGCGGAATGTTCAGGAGCAAAAACCCTGACTCACTACTCATAGTGGAACATGAATTTTCACCTTTTCTGACTGAGACACACATTAAGGTTCACACTTTATGCTGCGATCTGGGATACCAACATGTACGTAATATATGAAAGTTTCACAAAACAAGACTTGACTTTAACGCTTCCTCTTTTCCTTCCTTCCTTACGACCCTACACCAGTCTCAGCTCACGGCACTGGTCCCACAGCCCATTAGGTGGCTGGAACTCCCAGCCTGAGAAACACTGCTCTAGCAAATGGTCCCAGGTCCCAGGGGCACAGCTCAGAATGAAGTCCTGGCAGGGGCAAAAAGCAGGCCCAGAAATACAAACACGCAAAAAGCTTCTGACAGTAAGAATTCAGGACTGGCTTGATTAGCTTGCAGAAAGACTTTCGGGAAGCCTGATGTGACCCGGTGTTGACGGGATGCCCCCGCAGGTGCGCACACAGGTGCCCAGGGGAGGGCAGAGGCGTCAGAAGGACTCGGAGGCCCAGCACACAAGGAGCTCAGTGCACACGGAAAGGGGCAGGGGCTGCGGAGAGACCGAGGAAGAGTCTAGAAGGAACCCACGTGGGGCACTCGTCATCTGAGAAAAGGGACAAGTTCATTCATTGTGCCCAACTGCTTTCTCTTTCTGGGAGGAGGTGGCAGGAAGTGGGGGAGGCAGGGCACGGACAGAGGACAGCGTGATGAGCTCAGAGCCACACACGCTGGTGCTCCGGGCCCCGCCTCACGCGGCTGGAGGGCAGCGGGCGGGGCCGTGCCCTAGGGGCGGACCACTGGCTTCCCCCAACTAGGTTCTCACAAACCTGAAAGGAGGCTATTAGTGCCCCTGCATTACAGAGAAAAGACAAAGAGGTTCTTGGCCAGCGGAGCTCCTACCGTGAGAAAAAAACGTTCAGAAGGCAGGAGACACAGAGCAAGAGCCCGGGGAAGCCCCGGCCACCCAGGCGAACCGGAGGACTCATAACACACGGCTGGTGAGCCCAAACCCGGGCTGTAACCACCGGAGGGGGAAACCCCCAGGACAGGCTGTGGGTCAGAGACAAGCGAGGGGGGCTTAGGGATGAACAGCTCCAACACCGAAGACCACGAAGTGCTTACAGACTAGACACCCTCTCCTCCTTGCTTCGTTTCGATGAAGTACTGAGCTTCCACAAACATAAACATGAGGCCATGACAGCAACTAGGTATTTTCCCCTATGGGTGATCTACGAACATGTAAACAATCTGCACACTGATGCGTGTCAAGGATTCCCGAGAGCAGGCACACAAACAACCGTAGGGGAAATTCTCTAAAAGCTGCTTTGAAATAAAGCAGGTCCATGAAAGGCAAAACAACCTTGGCAGTGGTCCACCAGGGCCGCCAGAGTCTTCAGTCTGATCTTGGGGTCGTACGTCCAAACCAGGAGGCGCCGGAGCGTCAAGCTACTCTCAAGGCCCAAATTCACTCCCTGATCATCCTCTAACTGTAGCTGAAACACAATAAAGACGTAACGTGTAAAAACAAGCCACCAAATATGCCCAATTTCTTAATCCACGTAAAGTCAGCACGGGGAAGGGATTATTCTCATAAAAATGAAGTGACAGGTCCCCTCTGAGAGAACAATAGTTTCTACACCTACCAGTGATCTGTCGTAACGACAAAAGCTCTGAAAATCAGCACTAACTGCCTCTTGAATACACTGAAACTTTACGGATATCAAGACCTTATGAACAGCATTTAGCAAACATTTCTACCTTTTAAAACTGATTACAAGGAAACTTAAAAATTCTATATAGTTTCAATTTCGTTAGACGGCAAATCATGACGAAATTAAAATAGAAGCAAGTATTTATTACCTGGGAATGTAAGACGGAGAGCAACCGGTAGTATTCCTTCAGCTCCTGGTGCAAGGCCGCGCAGAAACTCTGTGCAGGGAGAAAGCAGGCGGCGTGAGCAGCCAGCGCGGCCCAGCGAGCGGCCAGCACGGGCGCGGCCTCCCGGCAGCTCTGGCCACCAACGCAGCTGTATTTCATCACTCGAGGGGGCTTTGCAGATGGAAATAACAGATTAAGCTAGACGTGTATTCACTTTGACGCTGATCTTTTAAGATCACATCCCTTCTAAATCTTTAGAGCTAAAAAGTCATTTTCTCCGGGGCACCTGGAAGGTTCAGTCGGTTAAGCTCTGGCTGTTGATTTCAGCTCAGGTCATGATCTCAAGGTTTGTGAGTTACAGCCCCACGTAGGGCTCTGTGCTGACAGTGCGGAGCCTGGATGGGATTCTTTCTCTCCCTCTCTCTCTGCCCCTGCCCCACTGAAACTTTCTCTCAGAAATAAATAAAACACTTCAAAAATATAATTTTCTCTGCTTTTAATTAGAATTTAAAACCTGGCAACTCCATGCCAATTTCTCCCAAGTTTTCACTCTTGTTTGTGCCGCTCATTTTCCACACCCGTATTATTAAAAACTTCTTTGTACCTCTACGATCTTAAATTCTGAAAAGATGAGGGGCGCCTCAGTTGGTTAAGCATCCGACTTCGGCTCATGAGTTCAAGCCCCACGTCAGGCTCTGACAGCTCAGAGCCTGGAACCTGCTTCAGATTCTGTGTCTCCCTCTGTCTCTGCCCCTTCCCAGTTCATGCTGTCTCTCTCTCAAAATAAATGAACTTAAAAACATGTCAAACCAGAAACTGTAAGAAAGACCCTGACACAGTCCTGTGACAAGAACTTTCTAGAATGAACTGTAGGACATAAACCCAAGGATAGTCAGTGGGAAGGACTGGAAAGGATAAAACCTGTTCTCTTTAAATATCCGGCTCTACGCTCTTCTGCATACGTGGAAGCGATACACGGTCAGTCCTCCGCAGGTTTAATGCACACCCATATTCTGTGCTCACACTCCAAGAGCCGCTGTGAACGCCAGGCGGCACCTGATTCTCTCTGTCAATACCCACCATGGCCGCCATCTCCTTGAGTGGACCAGGATGGCTACACTGTTGTAGTATCAAAGCTTCCTTATTTAAAAAGAACCCTCTTCTTAAGAATCACTTTCGTGATAAGATTCTGAGCAGACTCAGCACTCCCCAAGACAAAAGCGTCCTAAATGTTCTGGTAACAACAGACGTACCTGACCCACAAGTCCAAACGAACGGTCTAGACTCCTCTGGTCAGTGTATTTTCTTATTTTATTATGCAACCATCCCAACTCAGCAAGTCTGACTGTCGTATCCCTCAAAGATTTACTTAGGTTTGCCTAAAAAGTAAAATATATCAAGAGTTAAAAATTAGCAGTAGAAATTCAATTGTTTTTCTAAATCATTTGTACTTTTAGTATCCTGATTTTAGGCTCCAAAACACAGCACTTGCAAGTAACCAACACACCCTTGACAAAAAACGACGAGAGTCTGGGAACAAGGGCACCAGGGCCAGCAAGGAAGGGGCAGTAAAGCTCTCCCCCAAGGCGCGGCTGGCTGGTTCCCAGCACGGCAGGGGCCCGCTGACATCGGGACGTCCTGGGACAGCCAGCACTTGCATAAGACCATGGCATCAACAAGAAGGGGCCGTGGGGAAGGAGGTTCTGGAAGGGGAGGCAGGCAAGCGGAGGCCCCTTATCCAGGACCGTGCATCTACAGCAGGGATGCCGAGCGGTTCCCGCCCCTCGGTGCCTCGACCCCACCGTCACAGAACACAGGGGGCGGCTCGTGGGGTGGCTGCACCGCGAACACGAGGAGAAGAAGGCTGCGATGCAGGGAGAGGGAGCGAGCGCTGGAGACGATGGCCCCAAGCAAGGGCACCCGAGCACAGCCCGCGGGGACGCAAACGCCGCAACCTGACCATGGGCCTGACCGGTACTCCCGGCTGTGGGCCCCGTACCCCGCGCACCCGTCACCCCTACAAGCTGACAGCTCCCAGCCGGCCGTACCGGCACCCGTCCTGCCCGCCTGAACTGTACCTTCGCCTCCACTTTGTAGCGGTTCTCCGTGCTGTCCATCTTGACGTGCTTGCCGTCTATACCCTGGAAGACGTACACGATGTCGCGCACGAGGGCCGCCTCCGCAACCTCCCCAGCACCTGGAGCACGGGTTTGTGAGAGGAATTACTGAATGACACAGTTCAAGATGTGACCCATTTTACTCACACCTCGTCTTACGTTATGTGTCAATTACCAGGAGGAATTTTCCAATTAAAAAAATGAGCTTAAGATGGAAAAATATGAAACTCTAAAACACAAGAATTTTCTCAAAAGGATATGGAGATCATATAATTTCCTATACAAAAGTCTTTAGGGAAAAAAAAGCAGGAGTGTCTGGGGGGCTCAGTTGGTTAAGTGTCCAGCTCTTGATTTCTGCTCAGGTCACGATCTCTAGTTCATGAGTTTGAGCTCCATGTCGGGCTCTGCGCTGACAGTGTGGAGCCTGCTTGGGATTCTCTCCCTTTCTCTCTGCCCCTCCCTCGCACACAGTCTCTCTCAAAATAAATAAACCATTTTAAAAACTGCTGCGGGGCACCTGGCTGGCTCAGTTGGTTAAGGGTCCAACTCTTGATCTCAGTCCTGGTCTTGACCTCACGGTCACGAGTTCAAGCCTCACACTGGGCTCCACACTGGGCCATTATTTCATAGACGGCATTTGGGAAAACTGTTACAACACAGCCTGAGCACAAACTTGCCTCCATTCTCAACCACACAGAAAGAAGCGAATACAGTAGAAAAATGAGGATTTCCATAAACCTTGGGGCAAAAGCAAAGTCAGAATTTAGGTGGCACTCAATGACAAAGAGGCAATGCTCAGAAACCCAGACATCAGTGGGAGGAAACATGTAGTGAGAACACGGCCAGGGACCAGCTCTCCCAGAGCCAGGGCAGTGAGTCAGCAGGTGGGGACAGGTCTGCACTGCAGTCGTGGGGATGACATTCCGTAAATATCAGTGACGTCAAATCGCTGGCAGTGCCGTTCAAATGGTGCCTGCCTCTCGTTACCAACTGCTGTCTACTTTTCCATCAAGTGCTAAGAGACTGAAGCTGAAATACCATGGGTCTGGCTTCTCTGTGGTGTGTGCATGTGAAGCTGTGTCCGGAGGTGAACATACAGGCAGGAGCACTATTCCTTCCTGAAGAACGGACCCTCCCGCCGTTAGCAGCATCTACTCTGACAGCCACGCAGCCGCCTGTCTTCCCGCGGTTACACACAAGATGCACTTTTCCACCCATTCACTTCCAATCCATCTGCATCCCTACATGTAGAATATAGCTCTTTTGGGCAATACATAATTGTCTAAATGAATTTTTTTTTTAATGTCCTTTAAACAAAGTGTCTAATCCACACACATTTAATGTGACTACAGGAAAGTTTTTTTTAACGTTTCTATTTATTTCTGAGAAAGAGATAGAGACAGTGTGAGCAGTGGAGGGTCAGAGAGAGAAGGAGACACAGAATCTGAAACAGGCTCCAGGCTCTGAGCTGTCAGCACAGAACCCAACGTGGGGCTCGAACCCACGAACCGTGAGATCATGACCTGAGCCGAAGTCAGATGATTAAGCGGCTGAGCCCCCCAGGCACCCCAATAGGAGTGTTTGATTTAAATTTACTGCATTGCAGTATGTTCCCTATTTCTCGCCCTATTCTCTCTGACACCCCCCTCTGCACTTCGGGACTGATCAAGTACACTGTGACGTCCTTTTATCTATGAGCTTTGTGTGTCACACAGGCTCAGAGGCTCTGGTAGGGACCAGGAGTAATGCCACAGGAGTGGGGAGGGGCCCTCTCACTGTCCAGAAGACAGTCGCCCAGCCACAGTGTCCCCCCAGCCGTCACAGTCACAGGAGGGCCCCAGGTAGGAAGGGCGGCTGCACAGGCCGGGCTCTGCCCTCTGGGCTGTGTTCCCAGACCCGTGCAAGACGCCCCTGGTCCTCACATTCCGCACCAGCACAGAGAGCAGCCTGGGGTCGGGGCGGGGGGGTGTCAGAACCAGCAGACTACGGGCCAACAACAGAGCCCAAGCCTCTATGCTCGGACGTGTGTGTTGAAACACTGCCATTCAGAGGGCTCTCAGGAAAGAAACGCAAACCTTTTGGGATCTAGCGGAGCTGTAAAAGTCTCAGCGAGGTGTCCGTTCAACCTTCAAATAAATCTTTGGTGCATTTCTCCAATGTCCTAGGCCTGCTGGATGCGCCAAGGCCCTTACCGAGGATTCTGAAGCTTTCATCATGAGAACAAGCAAGCCCTAACGGTTGTAAGCAGGGCCCTGACAGTAGTTTCAAACCCAGGAAGCACAAAATCCAGGTGTGCAAAGAAAACCTAGCCAGGATCGGCCCTTACTCACCACCTGCGTCCCCTTCCCTCCTTGGTCTCGTCACGTTGCGAGAGACAGTGTTTGGGAGACCTTTTGAGGTACTGGCTTGTGAAGAAGGCTGGTTTGCAGTTAAAGTCCACGCAAGACGCGACCCCAGCTGCTGCCGAAGACAGTCCCCGACTCCAGGCGTGTGGTGAGGCTGTCTAAAAGAAGGAAAGAGCGTTTCCTACCTCCAAACACTCAGGCTGCTCACCTGAAACACAGCACACGGCTCGAAGTTTCCCTGAAGTTCCCATCTTGAGTTACATGCTAGAAAGCTGGCTTGGTGGATGACTTCGCCCTACCCGAGTCCATCAGCCAACCGGTCCAAGGCCCCTCAGGACGTGAGGCTGGCATTCAGGCTCTCACTGGCACCTCCCACAGATTTCTCAGCCTAGAGATCAAAATCGACTTGACTTTTCTTAACAAGCACATAACGCACATCACCTATCTACAACCACTTTGAAATTCACGACTAATTTTAACTTCAATCTCAACACCTTTCGTTCACTCGGCCCTTGTCGGGCACAGGCGTTCACCCTGGAGGCCTGTGCTCTCCCACATCCTCGCCTGTGTCCCAGCCTTCACAGCGCTCCACACAAAAGCAGTATTATAATTTGCAATTAATTTCACACATACATGAACATAAAGCCCGAGGCAAGAGCACAAAGGTCAAGACCGCTGGTGATAATGTGGAGAGCGTGTCAGGGCGAGTCTTCCAACAGCTGGTTCTCAGGACGTGCGTTTGGACAAGTGTGACACAATGCCACTTCCTGGGGCTGCGGACACGAGAATGAAAATCTCAGGGCGCCGCTGCTCCCAAGGGGCAGAGCGCAACTTCAGCGCTATAGCAACTCTGCTGGGCTGTCTGCCACCACCCGTAGACGAGACAGGAAAGAGACACCTGGAAACAGCCCTCCCTTTCTTCTATTTCCATGGGAAAAAGTCATCAACATGTTAAACCATGACTTTCAATAAAGTCCTAAATTTCAGAGAAAAAATTCTAAGGGGCCATTTCAGTTCAAAGTTCTCTATACAGTGCTTTTGTTTTTGGGGGCTTTTTTCCAAATTCTAAGGTAAAAATGACCAAGACTATTTAGTTTGCACTTTCAGCCGGAATACAAGTCAGAGATTAAATCCGTAGACTGTGTCGCACGGTCTTTCCAGGACACCGCACTCCTCTTAGAACCCGTGAGTGGTGCACTTGAACGTGAGGGTATTTAAGTCACACAATCGTCTATTACAGTGTGACAGTCCCGTGGAACCCGTGGGACTGTAAATCTCTCCAGTCACTGTTCTGGAAAAATACCCCCTTTTGACAGTCTGCTTTCACGCGATTTCCAGGAACGAACTATGTGCAGAAATACGTAAAGACACAAAGAAGCAAATTTCCGAGTCCACTACTGTGCCGGCTGCTGCTCTGCCCTCAGCCACAACCTCTGCGCCTCCTGGAAACCTGAGGGCTGACGGCCGCTATCCGAGGGCTCCTGGAGCCCCTCCTCTTGACCCGTGAGCGCCACGGCCGTCATTCTCAGTTTGAGGAAGATCGTAGCACTTGAGGACAAGACGGCTTTATTTTGGTTTACTTACCTTTTAAATAATTTAATAAAGTGAACGGGACAGGAAACAGGACGATAGTCACCGAGAGGTAAGCATGGGACACAGCAAGGGAGTGAGCTACCGCCAAATGCAAGGCCCTCCTGTCCCGCTCTGAACGAGGGCCGCCGCTCCCGTGCACTCGTGGTACCGCGTAAGGGCCGGCCCCACGTCACCACAGGCAACCACGGCTGGCGCGGAAGGAGCCCCGCGTGAAACAGCCCGGGGAAGAGTGAAGCCCCAAGGGAGAGCACAGCAGACACAGCGCCGCGAACACGTGTGGCGCACCCGAGGCCTGAGGCCGGCGGCAGGCGGGCGCCGACGCAAAGCCGGGGTGGCCGCCGTGCCTACCGCGGGGCCGCGCCTCACTCACCCCGGCAGGAGGGACGGCGGCGTGGGGGCCGGGCCGCTCAGGGCGGACGCGCTGATGGTGCTGACGCCGCTGCTCGCCACGCTGCCGGCGCTCTGCGCGGCCGGGCCGCTGCGGTCCTGGTAGTTGAGGGGCAGCGTCTGGGGCCGGGCGTAGTAGTAGGGGGTGGAGTGCGCGTCCCTCGGTAGCGCCTGGGCGAACAGCGCGGCGTAGCCAAAAACCTGAAAACGAGTGCGCGGAAAATATAACATCACCGAACGCTTCCTAAATCAACACAGATAATTTACACTCAGATTTTAGCTCTTTCGCAGTTGATCTTGTACTCTAAGTTTATCTGAGAGAGAGTGAGCAAGCGAGCAGGCGAGAGCAGAGAGAGGGACACAGAGCATCCCGGGCAGGCTCCGTGCTGTCAGTGCGGAGGACGCTAGGCTCGGACTCACGGATGGTGAGATCACAACCTGAGCCGTGTCAGGAGTCTGACGCGTACCCAACTGAGCCCCCCAGGCGCCCCTGGGGCACTGTCGTACGTGACGCAGTAAAGTAACTCTGGGAAACATCTGAAGGAGAAGCAGTGCACTGACCACAGGAAGAAAGAGAACAAAAGCAACCAGACAAGTTATTTTTTTCTCATTATTCTCTCAAGTCCAGAACCCGACTGCGGCCACAGCTCAGCATAGCCGTGCCGACAAGACCTAGGTGCGCCGCGCAAGGCGCCAGGCTGCGGGGACGGCCTCTCTCTCACCTTGTTCGGCTGCTTGCGCGGGTCCTCACTGAGGCTGAGCAAGAGGTAGAGAATTGACCATTTATTCTTCAAAACTCCCTGTTTAAAAAGAAAACATTAATAGAATAACTCTGTACTATTCCCCAGTTTTATCTACTTTTCTCCTAAATTATCTTTATTTCCCACTCGTGTTGTATGTGATGAGTCACTCAGTTCTCCTCCCGGAATCATTATCATACCACATGTTAACTAATTTGGGTGTAAATTAAAGACAATAGTAAGATAAAATAGAACAAAATAAAATGTAGGACTGTACTTGGTATATAGAAGTTAATCAATGAAAAACACACAAAAATAAATCAATTCCCATGATAAGAGTGTTATCTAAATTTGTTCATTTTTCAGGTATTGCAACTAATGCCACTCGTCACACACCCGGCACACACCCATTCACACACCCAGCATACACCCAGCACACACCCATTCACACACCCGGCACACACCCATTCACACACCCGGCACACACCCAGCACACAGCTACAAATCCTACTCTCGAGAGGTCATTACCCTTGGATAATTTAACCCCTTGAAAACTAACTCCAAAGTCCCCACTGAGAACCCGTTTTTAAACTACCGTCTTCCCAAATAATAGTATCCCCTTAAGTAATTCTTAGAATAACCAACTTTCTAAACCATGATTTTGAAGACAAATGCCACCCTAAAACAGGCGAATGCTTTTGTCCTCCTTCACCAAAGTCCCATTTGGGCCATAAAATAGACTATTAGAGAAAAAGAGAGAAACAGTGATGCACACGATGTGAAGCCTCAGCAAGCTGCACACCCGCCTCGCCCCTAGGTTTGCAGGAATCGTCACACGAACCTCATTAACTTCCAGCTGCCTCCTGCTCCACCCTGACTCACAGCCGTAACCGAGCCCACCCTCAACACCGTGACCCCCAATCGCCAGAGCATTTCTGCTCTATCCAGAGACCTCGCCTCTGGGATGCACGCGCTAATGTGCAAAAATGACTTTATTTACGAAACAAATTATGGGATGGTTACTTACTTTACACAAGGTCTTCATTATATGGAATATTCCTTGAAAGTTTTTTTAAAGAAAAAGCTTATCTCAGGTATTTAAGTTATGACCTAACTTAAAGAAATTGAATTACACACAATTTTCCAAAAACAATAAACTCCCCAGAAGAGCGACAGGGTAAAAAAGAGTCCTCAGCCTGGTGGCACACAGACAAATGAGCAAATACGCTTTGGTGGGTTACGCGCCATTTCAGAGAGAGGAGGGTCATTCAAGAGGCCCAGGCTTGTGGAAGGACCCCCGGAGAGGACGGGGTCTCCGAGAAGGGTGGGCTGCAGGTGAAGCTGGCCGCAGCCGGGCCCGAGGAGGAACTGAAAACGGGATGAAGCATCAGATCAGAGGGCTCTCGTGTCAGGACCAAGAGCCCTGAGCGCAGGGAGCCCTTGAAGGTGTGAGTGCACCTGCTGACAGACCCAGGAGGCCGGACTGCAGAAGACTCGAAAGGAGACACAGTCACTTGGGAGGAAAAGGCAAAGGGCCAGCGGGCATTCGGTGACCGAGGACCCACCCAGGGCACCTTTGCAGTCCCCTGGGAGCAGGTCCCGGGCTCCCAGGGCTAGCAGACCCCTCAGGCACAGGACCAAGGGCTGACGCCCATCCACCTGCCTCCCGTCTCCCTAAAGGGTCAGAGAGCGAGGAGCTCCCGGCGCCGCCCCGGAAAGGAGGCCCACATGGGACACCCCCCAACGCCGCCTCCTGCGGTCCTGGCAACCACTCTGGGACGCGGGCTTTGTTTTCTTCGCTCTGCAAATGGCAGAAAGTGAACACCTAACTCCCCTACCGAAAGCACAACGCCATGTGCTGGGACGCCCACCGTGGTGCGCCCGGCTCCAAAGCGGCCAGGACAGGGGCGTGCCTGAGAACACCCGGTGAGGCGTGGGGACGGGGCGGATTCGGGGAGAGAGGTGGAGGGTATGTGACATCCAGGTTTCCAGCTTTTGGCTCTAGATGAACAATGCCATTGTTCACCAGAAAGGAAAGTGGGGAAGAGCGTGGGTGTGCGTGGGTGTGTGTGAACAGACGCCCGGAGTATGAGAACAGAAAAAGGGAAAATGCTCCTTTCAGTTCTGAGGATGCCAGGTTGCAAGGCCTTCTGGGAGTTTCCCGAGGAGCGTCTGCGTATAGATGCCCAGTAGGCAATGGATGGTCCCTCTGCACAGCGAGTCTTGGGTTAGATCTTCAATTCTTGCTTTAGAAAAATAAGGACAATATATGGGGTGGAGAGCAGAGAGAATTCCAAATCCAAACTAAATCATGCACCAAAAGCAATCAGCACACGGCATTTTTAAAGGAGAAGGCAGTTGGGGCGCCTGGGTGGCTTAGTCGGTTAAGCGTCCGACTTTCGCTTAGGTCATGATCTCGCGGTTCGTGGGTTCGAGCTCCGCGTCGGGCTCTGTGCTGACTGCCAGCTCAGAGCCTGGAGCCTGTTTCAGTCTGTGTCTCCCTCTCTCTCTGACCCTCCCCTGCTCACGCTGTCTCTCTCTCTCTCCTAGAAATAAATAAAACATTAAAAAAATTTAAAAAAAAGGAGAAGGCAGTGGTTATTTTTAACGAAAGAACAGGTATGTAAACACGCAGGATGGGCCTGACGGAGGGACTGTACCGAGGTGTGATGGACAGGGACCATGGCCAGGATGGAGGCATGAGGGACCGGGGAGGAGACGGCCAGGGCACGGGCCGGGCAGGGGCGCAGGGTGCGGGCTGGGGGATGGTCCGTATGGCCCAGCAGCACAGCTGAGCTACTACCAAACCCGCTGCCTGTCAGGAGGGGAGCAGCCTGGTCTCACTCCCCTCCCAGCCCGTCAGTTCTGGGTGAAGACAGCCCGAAGCCAGAGAACGAGCGAGTGGCAGAGCCGCAGCCCGCACCCGTGGGCCATCCCGAGCCGAGACCCGCTGGGGCGGGCAGGCAGAACAACTCCGGCACCACAGACCTTTAAATGCGTCCTAACCACTTCTGACCTCGTTATTTCAGATTCTGAAATCTAAGGACCTTGACTTCAGACTCAAGACTTTAAACGTACACACATGGAATTCTAAACATCAGAACACACCCCAGGGCCCCGTAAGAGCTGGAAGAACACACAAACAAGCGGGCCTGTGAGGCAGTTACTAGCTAGTGTGGGTGACACCTACCTCCTCCCAGCGCCCGTACCCTGCCGCCAAGGTTCACCTCCCCTGTGACGCTCCATGGCGCCCACGCCACACCCTCACTGCCTGCCCTGTCATGGTGCCCTCCACGAGGCAGGCGCCACCCTGCCCCGGCCAGCCATCCTCCTCCCCCTCGGTCCACAGCTCAGTCAACCACACTGCAGACGGGCCCAGGACCACCGGGACCCCTTCCCCGACATCACACCGCACCACATCCCTCGCGATCCTGCCCAAACCGCGCCTCCGACCCCCTGCCCAGGCCTCGCATGGCACGCACTGCCAAGAAGGGCCCCACTGAGGAGGGAGGACAGAACACCAAAACCGGGGACTGGACGATTTAGCACACAGATGGGCTGGTGGTTAATCCACATGTATGTATGTCCCTAAGCTGTTTACTACGAGGGCTGCTCTATCGCGTCCTCATACCCTTCATCCTGTGTCAGCCGCTGGCCGGGCCACGCCGATCTGAGGGCGAGCCTGGGAAGCCGGCTCCGCTTTACCTCTGTTCAGGACTAAGCGTAAGTTGAAAGAAAGGAAAGAAAGGAAAGGGAAGGGAAGGGAAGGGAAGGGAAGAGAAGGGAAGGGAGGAAGGGAGAAGGGAGGGAGGGAGGGAGGGAGGGAGAGAGGGGGAGAGAGAGAGAGAGAGAAAGAGAAAGAAAGAAAGAAAGAGAGAGAGAGAGAGAGAGAGAAAGAAAAGAAAGAAAGAAAGAAAGAAAGAAAGAAAGAAAGAAAGAAAGAAAGAAAGAAAGAAAGAAAAGCATGAAAGAGGTAAGAGCTGAATTACTAGTAGCCTTAGGCCCAACTCAGTGATTTTTCTCGCCATAACGCTAACCCAGTTCCTGGATGAACAAAGCAGGAAACTTCAGATTTCACGTCTTCTCTATGGCAGGAGGGGACGGTGAATGAAGCTCTCACTCTGTATTCAGCGAACGCGCTGGTGTCCCGAAGGCCAGAGTCTTCTACAAAACTAACAGGTCAGAAAACTACTTGCAGCCAAGTTATCAACATCCAAGCACAAAATGTCCAAAATCAGAATTTCTTTCAGGTCACTGACTACACCAGCACCAGCGAGGCCTGACGAACAACAGCATGATGGAGACGACGAGCGGCTGCCCTCACACGCGTCCAAGGCAGGACTCCCAAAGGTGGCCCTCGCTGGAATGGGGTACAGCCTCCATGACAGAAGCTGAGGGGAGCCCAGTGCTGATCCCTCTCCCAGTGCAGTGTTGATCCCTGACCTAAAGCCACACTTAAAAGTTCCCTCAACTTTATCAGCAATTTCACATCAAATCCCGCCCAAACTTACTTTTAATCTTGAAAATCTCTTAAAGAGCAAACACAATACACAATCTTCCATTAAAATCCATCACTCAATGTGATACCACGAAAACAGCTCCCAAGCCCCACAGCAGCCTGACGGCCTCCCAAGGAATGGGGCGCACGCTACCTGTGAGTGGAGCTTTCTGTGGAGCTCTGAAAACAACGCAGCGTCCGCTTCTCTTCTTTGCCGAATAACTGAAAAGTCAGAAAAGAAAATGAGCATGTTAATCACCTACACCGAAATTCCTTCCATGACATGATTTCACCCACGGTCACAGGTAACCGAAGTCTGAAAAGAACCCTGAGCTTGAGGACCAGAATTACGAGTAACATTTCAGCTCTATGAATCTGGCCAATTCCTTTCATCCCTCTGACATGTGTAAAAAGCAGACAACATGAGGCTGGAATCAGAGCCTAGGAGAAAGTCAGCCTAAGCAGTAGAAATGATGGACCTTTTAGATCCTATCTACACACATGGACACGCAACCCCAGGGGGCACACTACCACCAGGTTAACTAGTCAGTGGCTACTGGAAGGAGAGACATAAAGTAAAATACCTTGTGAACGGTCAATTCAAAGGGCGATAATCAAAAAGTCTACCATTCACGACAGCCTGACCTAAAACCACACTTAAAAGCATTTTTGTTAACACACACAGCAAATGCCTGTGGCCACACCCACCAGTTCCCTGGAAGCCACAGTACCAAGTGCAAAGTCCAGGACCAGTTCCGTGGAGGATGAGGCTCCACATTGGACCTGGGCCCCGAAGGAGAGGACCACCTTCGCCCGCACCCACAGCCCTGCACGCGCCAGGTGCGCACACGGCCTCACAGGAACCCCACCAGACCCGCCACTGCAGGAAAGGCACCACTTTCAAGATGTAGCTAACAGCTTCTCCAGTCGCCAAGGAATCACCCAGGAGGACTTCTTAAAATCCCAACAGCCAAGTTCATCGCTTAGCTCTAAACTGTTTTGCAGAAAGACAGTAACTGGTTTGATGGCCAAAACTTTTCCACATGTATGGCTGGAAAGGGTCCTGGTATCACGTTCTGTTCATAAGAACCACACATCAGAGGTTACACCATCCCAATCACACCTGCACTGCCAGGTCTGCTGTGCACAAAGGTAAAGCCATCTCTAAAATGTCCTGATACAGGGCGCCTGGGGGGCTCAGCTGGTTGAGCATCCAACTTGACTTCAGCTCAGGTCACGATCCCAGGGCTGTGAGATCGAGACACCCCGTCGGGCTCTGCACTGCTTGAGATTCTCTCTCCTCCCCTCCCCCCACCCTGAGTGGGTGCACGTGCTCTCTAAAATAAATTTAAAAGTTTTTTTATATATATATATATTTTTTTAATGTTTTTTATTTATTTCTAGGAGAGAGAGAGAGGCAGCGTGAGGAGGGGAGGGTCAGAGAGAGAGGGAGTCACAGACTGAAACAGGCTCCAGGCTCTGAGCTGGCAGTCAGCACAGAGCCCGACGCGGGGCTCGAACCCACGAACCGCGAGATCATGACCTAAGCGAAAGTCGGACGCTTAACCGACTAAGCCACCCAGGCGCCCCTAAATTTAAAAGTTTTTTAAATGTATTGTCACAAAATGCATTAAACTAAACCAATGTAACTAATATCTAATAATATAATTTGCTTCCTTTTTAAACATAAAAATACTCAAATAAATACAATCATTAAATTAAGTCAGAAATGCTCTGGGGGGCCTGGTGGGGCTCAATCAGTTCAGCATCTGACTCTGGACTTCAGCTCAGGTCATGGTCCCAGTGTTGTGGGCTCAAGCCTCGCATCTGACTCCACGCTGGGCATGGAGCCTGCTTAGGGTTCTCTCCCTCTGCCCCTCTCCCAGAACGTGTGCTCTCTTGCGCTCTAGCTCTCAGATTAAAAAAGAAATTAAGAGGGGTGCCTGGGTGGCTTAGTCGGTTAAGCGTCCGACTTTCGCTTAGGTCATGATCTCGCGGTTCGTGGGTTCAAGCCCCGCGTCGGGCTCTGTGCTGACTGCCAGCTCAGAGCCTGGAGCCTGTTTCAGAGTCTGTCACTCCCTCTCTCTCTCTGACCCTCCCCTGCTCACGCTGTTTCTCTCTCTCTCCTAGAAATAAATAAAACATTTAAAAAAAAAAAAAATTTAAGAGATGGTCTTTCTACAGAAGGACATGAGACCGACACTAATGCACAGATACAAAATAACCAGGGGACAATAAAACGGTAAATAACACAAATAAAAATAAACCCAAAAAATGGTGTTTTATCTAATAGTTTGGAAAACAAATCTTTAGTTACAATATACCCCACTGACCAACATGAAAAATTAAGAAACCAAAAGGTGTTAAGTTTTTCCACGCCAGAAGTTTTACAATTCGTTTCAATGCAAAACACATTAGCATTCTGTATTCTAACTGAGCCAGACAAAATGGGTAACTGTTCTGTTGTTCCAGAGGCCAGAATTGCCCCAACTCAACACACCTACCAAAAACTGTAATCAAATTTCAAACGCAACGCGCGTTAAAATGTAAAAATTGTATCTAAGAATTAGTGAAATACGAGAAGTCAGTGGTGACCTATTACATGAAAAGAACATCAGGAATCCTCTCCACACAGCAGGGCCACCCAGAGCAGGGGCCAAGGGCGGGTGGCGCTCTCCCTACAGGGGGGCCCTGAGCTGGGGCCCAGGGAGGGTGACACTCTCCCCACAGCGGGGCCCCGAGCTGGGGCCCAGGGTGGGTGTCCGAGAGGCGTGGCGGGCACCTGGTGGTAACGGGCAGAGAGGCACACTGTGCAAGATACGGCAGAGGTCCTTGCTCAGAACCACAGAGGATGCACAGGGGAAAACCAAACCGTGATGGTTATAGCTTCCTTCTTACAGAAATCCCAGGGCATCCTCGCCGCACCCACTCCAACACCACCACCGCCAGTTCCGCAGCGATGCGTCTAGGCAGGATTTTCAATTACCACACGTATGTGTAACGTGCTCACCAGGAGGCCCTGAAAAGTACATCCACAAAGGGGACGTTCCGATGGCACAGACCCGGTCGTCAGGAGGGGTCACTAAAGGTCCAAACTGTAAAATAATCTGAAGTCTGAAACGTGAAAATAACCTACAGTGTACTTAACAGTCATCAGGGTTCAAAGAGTAGTGCTCTTATGTTCAGTTGTGTAGACAAGAAAGGTAAATAAAAGTAAGTTTTTAGAGGTCGCTAGCAGGATAAATACTCCGCTCCTGCCCCCTCCCTTAAATAACACCTCACGCTACATACCACCCGGGTCTGAGCTACGGCAGAGGATGGCTGCTTCAGACCTGACCGCTCGCGGAGCCCACGCGTGCAGGGGCGAGGACCGCCAGGTCCAAGACTCAGAGGTGTGGTCCGCAGACCCCTGGCCAAACCCAGTGAACAGAGCAACAGCTGGGGGATGCCCGTGCCTGAGGAATGGAAATCCTAGAAGGCGTGGCTACCGGTTTGCCAGCACAGTCCGGAGTCAGCCCAAGCCCGCCTCGTCTGGGCAGTGGACGGCCCGGCCCCAGTGGGGAGACCACTATGACCCGCTCCCTGGCAGCGGAGCCCAGAGAACTGTGAGGGGCCGGGAACTGGTCTCTGGAGAAAACCACCCTCCAGGGTCACATGAAGAATCTTCACACACCGGTCCCTGTGTCCCAGCCTCCCTCCCTCGCACAGTTGGCAGCTCAGAGGGCAGCGAAGCCCCACCTCCCGCAGAGAGCGCACTGGCACCCCGGTGCTAACACAGGGGAGCTTCCTTCCCTGAGGTGATGATGTGCCCCAAATGAAATGTTCACCCAGATGGTTCTAAGGTAGAGGTCTGGAGGCTGACAACCGCTAGAAGCGATGCTGGGCTCTCTGTTGCTAAGAATGTTCTAGAACATCTGGTCTCAGGTACACAATGTTAAATACTGCAAATCCCAGGATATGCAAGACACTATACGTAGCCCCTCTATCTTCCTCACCCTCTCAAACTACTCTGACCTGCAGTATTTAAAACAATCCTTGGGGCACCTGGGGGCTCAGTCAGTTAGGCATCTGACCTTGGCTCAGGTCATGATCTCACGGTTCGTGGGTTCGAGCCCCGCATTGGGCTCTGTGCTGAGTGCTCAGAGCCTGGATCCTGCTTCAGATTCTGTGTTTCCCTCTCTCTCTACCCTTCCCTTGCTCGCTCTCTGTCTCTCTCTTTCTAAACTAAACATTAATAAATAAATACTCAATCCCCTCACACTACCTTCTAATAAAAAACAGAATGAAGTTGTGCATATTTCTAACATGTGGTTTGACACATATGTGCTAGTACTTATCGCACTGTGCTTGGGAACTGCATGCGTGTAAGCGTACAGATACACATATGCATATATACAAGTTTCAGAATCCAACACCTGATAACACTGAAGAAAAATACGTACGTTCTTTCTTGATTTTTTCGGCTACGAGAAATTCATCTCTTTCAACGGTTGGAGCAAAGTTGCTGCCGATAACCCGCACGGCATACTGGAACTGCTGGGCTACGTCGGCTGAAAGGAAAATCAGAGGATGCAAATTATTGCCAATCAGGCCACGTTCCGACCAGCTCACGCTTCAGGGCGAAGACGGTGGACTGGGCGCATATATCTACCTCCCAGCTTCCCAAGGTTTTAACTGAGAGGACAGAGAAGCTATTCAGAAACCAAAGCAAATGAATGAATAAATGAACACAATAAGAGGTCCAAGAAACAAGAAAGGGAGACAGCAACAGCCCAGAAAGTCTGAAGAACCCCAGACAGACTATGAGCTGAGCCAATAATCATAAAAAACAGAGCAGGGAGAGTCACAGCCGGAATACGGTGCGTGAGAAGTAGCCCGTTCAAGAGAACGTCCGAGAAACTCTAAGGCTGATGTCAACAAATGCAGAAAACCAAGTGGGCAACTAACTTAACAGGCAGCGCACCTTCAGTACAGATGATGGCTGAAACCCAGGTGTCTGCCTCCACTCCCTTCAACAAGCCCACTAAATTGAGAAGGAAGTGTGTGGTTTGCTTTTTTAACAAAAGCAGAAAGCCACAAGGACAAAGAAAACAGAAGTCAGCCAATATGAAAAGCTGGGAGGCAAATCGACTGTGGGAACATGTTCAGGGCAGTGAAACTTGACATTCAATGTCTGCCTGGGGAGTCTGGGGGGAGGGTACAACACAAACCCCAAGAAGAAACATAGCTCCCTCTGCAGAAGCCCAGGGAGGCTCCGGAGAGGTGGGCGCTCCATTCCTCGGAAGATGTGAATGAACTGAAGCAGAAGAGGCCCAGCTCGAAGTCTGGCTGAACAAGGGCTCCCGGGGACTCTCCCCCTTCCCGTCTCCCAGACTGACTGCCTCACCCGGGGGACTCGCACGGGTTTGGCTGGCACGGCCAGCACAGCAAAGGAAAAGTAGCAGACTGGGGGGCACAATCAGCACAGCATCCGACTTGATTTCAGCTCAGGTCATGACCTCTCGGTTCGTGAGTTCAAGCCCTGCATTGGGCTCTGCACTGACAGTGCAGAGCCTGCTTGGGATTCTCTCTCTCCCTCTCTCTCAGCCCCTCCCCTGCTAGTGCATGTGTGTACACGTGTGTGCTCTCTCTCTCAAAATAAACAAACTTAAAAAAAAAAAAAAAAAACTAACCAGCAGACTGAACTTAAGGAGGCCATCCCCCCTTCCCAGACACCAGGAGTGACAATTCCTATACGGGGAACACTAGTAAACACAACACCACCCTACCTTCCCAGTGACGCACAACCACCCTGGAGGGCACACCCCAACCTACACCAGGCAAAACCGTTAACATCTCAGAGTCATGAGTTCAAGCCCTGCGTTGGGCTCTACACCTGGCATGAAGCGTACTTAAAAAGAAAAAAAAAAGAATAAAGCAACTTAAATGTGGGGGGGAAAATGGTCTCTTTGGTAAACTCAAACAAGAATCTCACCCTATACAACACATACAAAAATTAACTCGAATACGTCACAGTAAGTGTAAAACATAAATGTACAACAATCTTAGGGGAAAATACAACAGAAGAGATGTTTGTGACTCTTACACAAAGAGTTCTCATGTAAGAAAACAAATTCTGGGCGGCCCCGGCTGGCTCCATCAGCGGTGCGTGTGACTCTAAATTTCTGGGTTGTGGGTTCAAGCCCCACACTGGGTGTAGAAATTACTTTAAAAAAAAATTTTTTTTTTTAATGTGATGGGGTGCCTGGGTTGCTCAATCGGTTAAGCGTCCGACTTCAGCTCAGGTAATGATCTCACGGTTCGTGGGTTCAGGCCCCACATCGGGCTCTGTGCTGACTGGCAGCTCAGAGCCTGGAGGCTGTTTTGGATTCTGTGTCTCCGTCTCTCTCTGACCCTCCCCTGTTCACACAGTCTCTCTCTCTCTCTCTCTCTCTCTGAAATAAATAAAACATTTAAAAAATTATAAAAAAAATAAAAATAAGAAATGTGATAAATGGGACTTCATCCAAGATTAAACTTTTGCTCCGCAAAGAACACTGTTAAGAGAATGAAAATACTGAGGAAATATTTGCAGAACACAAGAAAGAACTTGAATCCAGGTTACAGAGAGAGCGTTCTGAAAACTCAATAAGGGGGAGAAAACAATCCAGTAAAAACATACATAAAAGTGTTAAGCAGACAACTCACCACAAAGGTGACCGGCACAGAAACAGACAAGATGCTTCACAACATAGTCATCAGGGAAGCGCAAGTCAAGACGAAGATGAGACGCCTTCATTCAGCTGCCCGAACTGAAGGAGACAGACGGCCAGCACCAGGGCGGGCGTCCCGTCCACTGGCCGGTGGGCATGAACCCGGCACGGGCGCGCTGGAAAACATTCTGGCAGTTTCTTTAAAAGCTGAGCACACACTTCCCATGTGGCCTAGCAAACCCATTTGTATCTAATCCAGAGAAACCAAACTTACAGTGACATAAACCTCTACGTGAACGTTTGTGGCTGCGGCACCCAGGACTCCCCATGACCGCCAGCGCTCAGGACCTGGGACAAGGAGCCATGGGGCGTCCGTTAGAGGGGCGTTGCTCTGCAGCGAAATGGGGTCACCTGCCCACACAAAGACCACTAGCAGAGTGAACGCGGCCAGTCTCCAGAGCACCCGACCCATTTCCGTGCTCTCCTGAAGAAGGCGCCCAGAGTGATCCAGGACAGAGGGTGGCTGCCAGGGCAACACGGCAGCACAGGGGAAACCGCTGTCAACTTCAGTGACACTACTAACTATTTAAAAACCAGGCCGATAGCAGCCGGAGCCAGTCAGAGGTAAATAAATGCAACAATACAACAAACACAAGATAGAATTCACGAGGAAGAATGGCAAACCTTTCCCATAATTAGTCCTCAAATTGATGGATCGCCAAGTCTCAGAACCACAGAAAACTTACATACAGTGGAATTTCAAAACAAAAGATAAAGAGAAAATCCTACCAGCTGCCAGATGCAACTTCAAAGGAATAAATCAGTTTAACATCAGATTCTCATCAGTGATGAAGGAATGAACACATTTAAAGTGGACAGAAGGCAAATCCCTTCAAACTTTCCGTATCTGATTGATGATTTAGGAGACGAGGCTCTTGAGCACTCACCCGGGTCAGCAAACGCTCCTGGGCCCACTGCTAACGGTGTGCCCCCCATACGCCCATTACGGGCCCCATCTACCTGCAAAAGGGTCCTAGGTAGCCGGTCACCCTGTGTCTGCTCTTGTCCCTTCGAGTACATTAGCCACGCGGCGGCGAGAGTGATCTTTTCAAAACCCAAATAACATCACCGCTCTGCTTGAACCCTCCCATCACACCCAGAATCAATGCTAACGCAAGAGCACGGCTGCCCGACCCGGTCTGGGGCCACGTCACCAGCACCGTGTCCCGCCTCCCGCCTCCCCCCTCCCAGCTGCACTGGCCACACACCAGCCTCACCCCATCACTTCACTCGGTTCTCTGTGGAAATGTCACCCCCTCAGACCGCCCTCTGGCTCGAGCACACCCGAACACCACACAGAGCACAGAGTCTTCCCGGAACACCACCACAAGGCCACAGGCTGTGCCCAGAACGCGAACAAGGCGGGACAGGGAAAAGCAGAGAGAAGTAATTTGAAGTGTTTTTGTGGAGTCCTAGGATTGGGAGTAGTTTTCATTTTCTTCTTTATACTTTCCCACGCCTTTAAAATGTCCTAAGTAGTAAACATTAATTTTAATATATTAAAAGTGGCATTGAAAATTTCTCACCTGCAAGGGTGCATGTAAAACTGTTCTAGTTGAGAAAATATTTTTAGATTACCACCATCCTGAGTTCTACAAAAAATAATTAACATACTCAAGTACCTGGGACAAACATCTCCACTCCAAAGGATTCATAAACTTTGGATTTTTCCAACAAAAATTCAAAACTCCTCGACACCAGAAACACAGTCTCTATGCTCTGCGCCCGCGGTACGTAAGGCATTTCACTGCCGCATCGCCAACCTCCAGCTTCCCTCGCTGCCAACCAAGTGTGCAGCCTCTCTTTCCTGCTGATAGAAAAGATTTGAGAAATACGTCTGCTAATGTTAAATGAAATCTGCCTAAGTTTCACAGGCAGATGCATAGAATACGGACTATTAAATTCACAGTGACGACTATTCTTTGTTCAGTGAATCTAACCATCAAACAACATCGACTACAAATTTCTAGTTTAACACTCCCAAAATATTACTCCATTTCTACAGTACAACTAAGCTCAATCAGTAATTCAAAGACGAATTCCCAAGCACCTGCTATACGCCAAATACCACGGGCCCTAAGAGGGGACAGAAAACAGTGGATGACCAGGCGGCTCAGTGAGAACACGAAACACGAGGCAGGTAACTCCACAGGCGATGGGTCTGTGGTAAGAGCTCGTAAGAAATCGAGAGGACGCCGTGCCGGCAAACACGGAGGGCCTCAGACACAGGCTGGTCAGGGAAGGCTTCTCTGAGGAAGCAGCCCTCTGACAGGCAGGAACCCACCACGAGAAAGGACATGAGGGGATTCAAGGGCCAGTGTGTACACGGTCCCTCAAGGACGCCAGTGTCACTGTTTCTAAAATCCAAGCTGTTCCATCCGGAGTCCCAGGCGAGGAGGTCCAGGCTGCGGGTCTCTGATGATTGGCCAGGGCCAGGATGCGCCATTAGAGTGCTGCACCGACTTCACCGGCAAGCACCAGAGGAATGTGTTACGTCCTCCCGTCCAATCCGCTCTGGGTACCAGGGGCCCAAAGGGAAGGCAGTGCTCGTCTGCGCAGCCTCTGAAAGTATCTCCCTCAGAAGCAGCAGGGACCAGTGAGATCAAGGACACACTGCCCGGCGCGGACACACCCCACGGGCGCGCCATGCTTAGAACGGGCAGGGGAGGGCAGAGGCGGGAGGCCAGTGCGGGGCGGCCCGCACTCAGCACGGAGACGCTGCCAGATTCCACATGGAAGAGCAAGAAGGAATTGATTCAAGGCATCAGGCTCCGGAACTGGAGATCTGGGTTCCAATCCTAGCCCTGCAATTGGGCAGCTTGGTGACAGCGAGCAAACTACCTGCCCTCTCCACGTGCGTGTCCTCATCTACAAAGTGAGGTAAATGAGAAGCACTCCAACCGTCTGGCAACATTGGGAGTTAAATACACCAACCCAAGGCGTATGCAGAGTATGGAAGAGAAAGTTCTTGAAAAACGTTAGCTATTTTTATTATTATTAATCTGAAAATGTCATTTCGATGCAAGATATGTCTACCACAGCCATTAAAACCACAACTCAAAGCACCTGGCTTTTAACTTTTCAGCAGGGTAACTTGGTCTTCGCCCTGTAGGTCACACATAGGAAACAAACGCTCTCCACCCGGCGTGATCAAATGTACCCTCTAGAAAGGACCCCCCGCTGCAGCACGGAGGAGGTTCACACTCAGGACAAGAGAGGCGGCAGAACTGCATGACCTCGATCTCAACATGAAGACCCCAAAGAGCACTTAGATGTGGGCCCAAGAGTTTTCAAATGACAGTACCTTTAGACCCCACAAGGGTTACACAAGCACTTGGGTAGAAGAAACCGAACATAAAGATGCGCAGAAATGAGTGAATCCCAAATATGCAGCCGCGCACCCTGCCTGGGCTGCGTGCTCTCCGACTTGGAAAGTGAGCGGCGCAGAGGGGCGTGGTTTGGAAGGCCCCGGGCACACTAGGCCGCTGTCCCACAGGACAAGACAGCACATCAGCCAAACCACACGTGCTCACAGAGGGAGCCCCTAAACCTGCAGTCTTCGTGCCTCCAGACGCAGGCCACAGTGACCCTACGCTAGCGCTTCAGACACCACGCGCCCACACGCTCCTGCAGAATCACCCTGTCTGCAGACAGCACCCATGAGATCAAATCCGAGGAGGTGTCACACGTAGACCATTCACAGCGACAAGGTGCGAAGGCTTAGCCACCGTAAAAGGTCTGCCCCTTGGGCCACTGCCACACCACCGGTCCCACCCACAGCAACCGTGGAATCAGGTTCTTGTGTGGCCGCACCCAGCGCGCAGCTCCCGCAATGGAAGGCAGGCTCCGAAACAAAAACAAAGCAAGACACGACGATCCAGACTTGGGGCTCTCAACCTTGTCAGTCTCGGGGTCCCTTCCTCTCAACACTGAGGATCCCTGAAAGGATTTATTTATGTAGATTATGTCAATATTTACTGATTAGAAATTTAAACCAAGATCATTTTTAAATTTTAAATCATTTTGGGGCGCCTGGGTGGTTCAGTCAGTTGAGCGTCGGACTTTGGCTCAGGTCATGACCTCACGGTTTGTGGGTTCGAGCCCTCTGACAGCTCAGAGCCTGGAGCTGCTTCAGATTCTGTGTCTCCCTCTCTCTCTGACCCTCACCTGTTCATGCTCTTTTTCTCTCTCAGAAATAAATTTTTTTAAAAATTAAAAAAAAAATAAATTTTAAATCATTTTAAAATAACAAGTCCACTAAGCACAACTTTCCAATGAAGGCTAAAACACCGGAATTTCAACGTCAGTAGACATTTAGTGCACATTTCAACATACACTTATTTTAAGTTTTAACATATATTTAATATACGTTGATTTTCCCAAGTATATAATGAAGGGAAGACCATAATATACTTATTTGGAACTCCATCAAGGGCTCTTCACAGCTTTGAAAACTCATGACACCAAGAGCAATACCACGTTCATCTGTCAGCACCCCGCCCCTCTGCACCGGGGCTGGGGGAGCACTCAGAGAGCTGTCACGGGAGGAGGCAGTCATCTCACTTCAGTGCACACGGTACTGGAGCCACACCTAAGCATCTGTGCCCAAGTGCTCACCCAATAAATCCTACTGTGCTCGTTAGAATCCTGGTTAGAGAAAGGATTACAATGTATGAAAAGGAAGCTTCCTTCTGGGGCGCCTGGGTGGCTTAGTCGGTTAAGCATCCGACTTTGGCTCAGGTAATGATCTCACGGTTTGTGGGTTCGAGCCCTGCGTCTGGGTCTGTGCTGACAGCTCAGAGCCTGGAGCCTGTCTTTGGATTCTGTGTCTCCCTCTCTCTCTGACCCTCCTCTGCTCATGCTGTATCTCTCTCTCAAAAATAAATAAAATATTAAAAAAAAAAAAAAAAGGGAGCTTACTTCTGAAACATTTAGAACACACTGGCTGGTAGTATGTGTTGAAGCAAATTTGCAGGCTGGAAAAGGTGAGAAATGATGATTATACTAACTTCATAAACCTATCAAGCACCAGGGGCGCCCAGGTGGCCCAGTCAGTTAAGCATCCAACTTCAGCTCAGGTCATGATCTCACAGTCCATGAGTTCGAGCCCCGCGATTCTGTGTCTCCCTCTCTCTCTACCCCTTCTCTGCTCACGCTCTGTCTTGCTCAAAAATGAATACAGGTTAAAAATATTTTTAAAACTAAATAAATAAAAGTAACAAGTATTGGGGTGCCTGGCTGGCTCAATCGGTAAAGCATGTGACTCTTGACCTCAGAGTCATTGAGTTCAAGCCCCACATCAGCGTAGAGCTTACTTTAGGAAAAAAAGTAACAAATATCAATTATTCCTCAATATCGTACCATTGGAAAAGCATTATTACAATGATACAAGGCCAATTGTTTGTAACATGACATTTGAAAAAGAATTAATCAAATGTTCTTCTTAGTTATCAGATAAAATACCTACCAATGAAAAGACTTTTTTTTAATGTCAAACACTGTAAAGGCAGCAATGAATATTGCTCTTTTGATCAGTAAGGTAGAATAAATCAGAACAAGGCAAGATATCAAATACTTGTAAATTCTTCAGTAAAGTGTAGCATATATTTGGGATTATAACTGCTTGGCAATCCTCGCTGTCCAGAACAGAGCAAAGGGAGTATCTTTAATGGATTTTATGATCCATTTTGTTCAGAGAGGATCCTCTGAGGATCTCACAGAGAACATATTTACTCTTGTATTTAAACACACTTCTGAAGAGAGCCAGGAAGACACAGGACTCTGCTGAAGTGCCTTCATCTCCTGGAAGGGGCGAAACAGTCCATCAAAAGGAGCCTCAAATTTTAAAAAAGAGAAATTTTTTTAATCGAGAAACATCACGCCATCTCACAACGAGTGGCCTGCAAAGTCCAGGTGTGGCGAGGAGGACGGACAACGGTGCGGTGATGGTGGCAGGAAAACTGAGGACCTGCGTCAAGACACTGCCCACGTCAGAGCGAGTGAGTGGACACCGCCGTCTCGACCCTCCGGCTTCTCCTCGGGTCAGGAACCCGGAAGCAGAAGGGCAGCTCGGCTTGAGGTACGCATTCGGGGAGTGGGACACAACCAGAAGACAACCAGCGAGGCCCGCGACCCCTGCACCTGTCCCGTCTCCCCGGAGCCCTGTCCGGGTGCTCCCAGCGCCCCTCTCACTGCAACCCACCGAAACAGCTCCACAGAGGCTTTGTCTCACTTCTTCCCTCACACTGCCAGCCCCTCCCTTCCCTGGCCTACGCCTGCCTGTTACCCCCTCTCCTCCGCGAGAGCGCAGCGCGACCGGCCGTGCGCCGCCTCCCACCAGACCCAGCACCGTGCCTGCGCGTGGGGCCCAGGGACAGGCTTACACCTTACAAAACGAAACAAGAACTGTGTGAGGTTGGTGTCATTTAACAGACCGACCAGGAAACATCCATCTTTACCCCTGCGGTTATCACAGAACATCAAACAAAACAGGTACCGGGGCGCCTGGGCGGCTTAGTCAGCTAAGCGTCCGACTTCGGGCTCAGGTAGTGGTCCGTGGTCCGTGGGTTCGAGCCCCGCGTCGGGCTCTGTGCTGACAGCTCGGAGCCTGGAGCCTGTTGCAGGCCCTGTGTCTCCCCCTCTCTCTGCCCTTCTCCCATTCACACTCTGTCTCTCTGTCTAAATAAATATTAATTTAAAAACAAATAAAGTGGGTCCCTAATTGTCATGAATCAGGAAAGGTCGAAAATCGGTCATAAAAATTTTCAAGTAATTTGGTTTAAAGGCTTGCAGCAAGAACCGCCCAACTTCTTGTCCGCCGCACGGCGCCTAAGGCGGCGGCAGCCCCGCGTCCTCGGTCACCCGGCAAGTCCCTCCAGGGTGGACGTCGCGCAACCCCCTCCCCTCCCGCCAGAGCAAACACCGAGAGGGCAAACCGCGCCCGCCTGTGAAACCCCGCGGCCACATAACGGCTCTACGCCCTGCAGGGCCGGGCCCGGTAAGGGCCTCCGCGGGGCACCCTCTCCGGGAAGGAACGGCTCCGCATCAACTCCGACCCTCAGCCCCTGGAAGAAAACCGCGGCAGGGAACAGGCGCGCGCACCCCGCTGCCTTCCCGGGGGGCAGGGAGAACGCGGGGGCTCGCCGGCACCCGCCACCCCGCGTCACCCCGCCCAGTCCTCCGCCGCCCTGTCTCCCCGGGGACTCTGGAGAAGGTGGACGCGCTCCGAGCCGCCGTGCCCGGCCTCACCCCCCCCGGGCCCGCTGCGCCGGGAGCGGTGACTCAGCCCCGCCGGGGCCCGGCCTCCCTGCCTCCGCCCCGGGGGCTGCAGCCCTCCGCAGGCCGCCCCGCCCCGGGGACGCCCCTGCCCCCGCCGCCCCCGCGAGGCCTCCGGACCCCCGGCTGACCCGCGGCCTCCCGGCCTCGCCTCGGCCCCGAGCCGCCCGCCCAGCCCCGCTACCTTCGCTCCTGCCCAGGATCCGGCAGCACAGGTTCTGCAGCAGGACGTTCGGCGACTTCTGGTCCGGGGTCGCCATCCTCGCCAGGGACGGCCCGCGGGGGGCCTGCGGAGCCCCCGGCCCTCGCCTGCCCCGCGCCCCGCGCCGCGCAGGCTCCCGGCGTCCCGGACCCGCTACAGCCTCTCGGGCACCGCCGGCGACAAGGCCGCCATTTTAACGGAACCCGCCGAAACCGCGGGTCCTTCCCACAATGCCCCGCTTCTTCCGGCCGCTCGGGGCGCTGGTGCGCCGGCCTGGGAGGTCCCCGCTCCGTCCGCGCGCGGTCCCCGGAGCGCCGCTGCCACGGCCGGAGGGTTCCGGCACCAACTGCTCCGGCGGCTCAGACCCCAGGGTCCCCGGCGCTGTGTCGGATGGAGACCCCCCCCCACAGTCCCCGGCACACGTCCCGCCCACAGTCCCTGACAGAGGGACCTGTGGCACAGTCCCCCAACATCCCTGAGGTCAGGAAGGCCGCTGTTCGCTCTGTGCTCAATAGCATCTTTATAATCCATAATTTAAAAAAAATGTTAATGTTTATTTGTTCTTGAGAGAGAGAGAAAGAGAGAGCATGAATGCGAGCGGGGGAGGGGCAGAGAGAGGGAGACGCAGAATCCAAAACAGGCTCCAGGCTCCGAGCTGTCAGCACGGAGCCCGACACCGGGCGGGAACTCATGAACGGGGAGAGCACGACCTGAGCTGAGGTCGGCCGGTCAACCGACTGAGCCCCCACCCCACCCCCACCCCCAGGTGTCCCCCCGTAAAGTTTTTCCAATATCATTGGCTCAAGTTTCACTTTTGGTGAAAGAAGTCTGTTTAAAGGAGTGCAAGGTTTTATGATTTTTGACATTTGGTTGACATTGGCACCCGCCACACTTTCTAGGTTTACACAGATAGCATGTGTGTATTCACCGACCGGAACCCCAGCCCCCCGCCCCTCAACCCATCCCAGGACACCGGTCATCTGAAGACCAAGGCGGATGAAGACTGAGAGGGAAAGGCCTGGAAAGAACAAGGCAGGTCAGCAGGCCATCACAAGGCATCTGGACGCCTGCTCATGAGTGCGGGGGAGGCTGTGGGCACTGACGATGCCCCACCCGAGAACAAGGGAGCCAGTCCACACACCAACTGGCCGAAGACGTGAGATGCTGGAGGCCAGGAGCTGTGCGTTTCCTGACCGCGGCCCATGAGACAAGGGCAGCACTTACTCCGCTCCAAACCACTGTGTTTCCTTCCCAAGAATCTGGAATTAACGTGAAAAGACCTTATATCCCCAGAGGCCTGCACTATACCGCAGCATCACAGAACAATCAAGTGAGCCTAGCACAAGAGAAAACTCCACCCCTTCCTTCCCAAGCTGGAGGAAAGCAGCAGCCTTACAGACGGGACCCCCTGAGACTTCTTGCTGCAGATGACGCCGGAATGAGGTGTCCCAAAGGAGGGCCAGGCCCTAAACGAGCCTACGTGCCGGGCCGTGCAGTTAATACTCCCCTTGTACCACGTGAATTCTGGGAATAGGAAAACCAGAAGAGCCCCAGGACAGAGGCAAAGCAGGTGTCTGAGAGAGGCAACTGGGAGCCAGGACCTCACACCCAGAACGGAGCTGCAGTGTCAGATGGTGGCGGGTGACGCTGGCTCTCCTCTCTCCCAGCGGTCCACTACGCATGCCGGGTTTCTGGGGTAACAGAGCCCCAGCCACGGTCGTGACAGCAACATCACAGCACCAAGACCGGGCGAGGTACAGCGAGGGAAGGAGGGTAGATAAGACACAGCCCAGCAGAGTGGACACTGCCAGTGTGTCCTGTCGCCTCCCTTTGCTGAAATTTCCCTGGAGGTGCCTTTGCTTTTCCAATGGGAAGATGGAAATACAGTAACTAACGCAGTGAGGTGGGCATGTAACAGGGGTGTCCCAAGGATTGGCAACTTGGGTACAACACCGAGGACCCTACATTTTAAAGAAAGCCAAGGAAAATGGGAGCCGGATGCTAGCTCAGGATCAGTAGACGTGGCCAAGCAGACGTGGCTCATTCTACGGCGCTCACTCCCACCCTGTAGGTCCCTCCACAGCTGATCAGTTGGCCGTGGCGGAGGAGGGGGCTCTGGGTCCCGAGGCCGTTCCAGACATCAGGACCTGCCCCGCAGGCACCGCAGAGCCAAGGCCCCGCTGGAAGCCTGGAGGAAAGTCACGTGAGCCTCACAGACGATCGGTGTCAGATGCCCACACAGAGATGGCGTCGATGGCCACCGGGGCCAACCTGACAGAGGGTGTGGCCGCGTGTGGAGCTAACCCAAAGATGTTCGACCTTTGCCCTGATCCCTCTGTCCTGACTCCAATCCAGGGAGTTAGAATTAGCAGTGGGGGGTGAAGGAAGAGGGAAGGACAAACGTCACCATCTCCCCTCAGGCGCCTCAGGCTGGTGACGCCTGGCTGTGCAGGGATGAGGAACAGCCATGAGCTCCAGGCTGGATGCGACGTGAGAGCTTTGCATCGACCTCGACAGAACTTCTTCGAACACAACATGACCAACAGGCCATGGGTGCCTCAGGTGCCACGAAGGACAAGACAGGAAAAAGCCACCTGACTAATCTGAGGAACTTACATACTTTTTGGCAAAAGTATCTTTTGGCAAAATTTTGTAACTGGCAGAATTCTACTTTGAGTGTTTAAGCCGTAACATTAGACTCCCTAAAGGCAGGTCCCCGATGCTGTGCTGAAGGAACCCACCCTGGGGCAGTGCTCACGTGTCTTGCCTCCCGGAATTGTCACCTGGTTGTACTCCCCTCCCCTCAGCTCCGGACAGACCCTCTGGTGTGCGCTTCCTGGGACGACGCGTGAGGGCTGGCTCCCAGCAGCTTCCAGAAGCCTGGCAGGCACCTCCTGGCGCTCGGGGGGGGGAGCCGCCGTGTGAGGAGGACAGTGTCTCTGCAGGACGGACCACAGGTGCAGGCCACGTGGACGGGGAAGGACCCTGAGACCCCAGGCAGTGAGGGGAGCCAGCTACCCCAGCGTCCCAGCTGAGCCAGTCCCCCGCTGTCACGCCAGCTCAATGCAGCCACACGAGTGACTACGTGCAGAGCAAACACAAGTCCCCCCTGCGCCCACCCAGACTGCAGAATCGTTAGCAAATAAAATGCTCACTGTTCTCGGCCCTTACGTTTGGGGGTGGCTTGTCGCACAGCAGGGAGCACTACTTAGTGCACGCGGCTTTGCCTGGAGGGTCGGGTGTGGCCGCGTGGAGGACGTGCCTACCATCCCTGTCCGATCTCAGAGCCTGATCTGCTCTACACCCAGACGACTCTGCAGGGCAAGCCCCTGGGACAGCTCCCCCCCCACACCCCCCCCCCCCCCCCCCCCCCCCCCCAAGGAGTCACTGGTAGAGCTGGAGGTCAGAGTGCCCATGGCAACGCCTGCTGCCAGCCCGCCCCTTCGTTCATGCTTCCAGCCTCCCTGTCAACTCTTCTCACAGATCTCACCCCCGCTGGAAGATTCCAGAAGATGGGATATGGTAACATCAGCTCTTCTCTCTGTCTCTTCAGCCCTATGAAAAGTAGCCACTTTCTGCCCTTGCGAATCTCGGAGTTCCTCACCTCCTGCAGCCGCCCACATGGCTAATTCCCCGTGTTAAGCCCCTGCATTGCTGGAAGGGGTTCTGACTTGCAGGCTGGTCCCCACTATCCAGTCCTTGCTAAGAAGGAGTGATCCCAGGGCAGAGGCCCTCAGCTAGGACGCCAGGATGGGGTTGCTCATATCTAAGCTCAGATACGTTAGGATCCTTTTGAAGGTGGAACCCATCGCACGTTGAAGCACCAACCCAGGCTTTTATTAGCACTGGCTGATGGCAAGACTCTGGGAAATTAGTAGCGGCTGTAGTCAGATGTGTGGGCCCAAGGACGATCACCGAGACTGCAGCGTGGGCGGACTGGCCTGGAGTATTTTCTGGAAGCTTGGGTATAGCTTAAGGTATAGTCGTGGAGCCAGAGCTCCCCTAGCAGCCTCGAGAGGAATCTCTTATTTATTGTTTTTTCTAAAATTTTTTTTTAATGTTTTATTTATTTCTAGGAGAGAGAGAGAGAGACAGCGTGAGCAGGGGAGGGTCAGAGAGAGAGGGAGTCACAGACTGAAACAGGCTCCAGGCTCCGAGCTGGCAGGCAGCACAGAGCGCGACGCGGGGCTCGAACCG